CGCCACCCAGCCAACTGTTAAACGAAAAATCAATTTATTTTCACTTTATTTCAAATGAAAACGTTGAAAATTTTGATTTAACTCTTTAAAATAATTATCTATCATTTCTAACACTTCATTCGTACGAAGGTTTCTTAATTGAAAATGCAAAAAATGTAGTAAAAACTCATTCCTACACTGATTAGATGCATTAAGCCTGGCGTATTTTGGTCTGTTGTTGTCGTTATAAAATGTTGGCGAAAATATTTTTCCATCTGCAATGCGTTCGTCACCCATCCCTAAGGCCTCTATGCAGTCGTTCGGTGGCTCCTTACCTTTAAAAATTTGAGAAAGAAAATTTTTATTTGAAAAATGAAAAAGCAGTTTGTAAGATTAATGGATTAATGACTAAAATGGTGATTAATAATTACTGAAAACTAGTAAATTCACTCAAACTATGGTATGTTGATGAATAAGCTAGTTGAATGTAGATAATTTATCGAATGAACTAATTAAAAACATTTGCTCATACGCAATATGGTCTTACCTCATTTCATCGATTAAATTTAAAATTACTGGCAGAAATCATTAAAAAAATCATTCACATTGTTGAGTAAACCTTAAAAGAAAAATGTATGGATGATACAAATTAAGATGATGAGAATGAATCTGATGATGATCAAGATGATAATAATGATGATAATCATTACGGTGAGGAAGCAGATGAAAATGAGGAATATTATTATTTTCAATATTATTACAATCATCATTAAAACGCACAGACTTAAACAGACATAGGTTAAAAAAGGTAAAGGGTCATTTACACCCTTCCAAAGTTCAGATGATTCAACAACACGCCACAAACATCGTATATGAATACATGCTAAACGACGCATCACACACACACACACACACACACACACACACACACACACACACACACACACATACACACACACACATACACACACACAAACACACACACGCACGAAGCATGGGATCTTTTTTGTCATATTCGAACCCGGCTACTGCGAAACAGCATCAGGCGACCTTAACAACTGGGCCATCAAGACTAGATCAATGATTATTATAATGACGACGATGGACTGGATGATTACAACTACTTATCAAAATGTCCACCCCACTCAGCTGACCACACGTAGGCAGGTCACATGACTCCCACAGGTCATTCGTAGAGTCCAAGTAACAGAAGGGCTTTCCATGGTGACACTCTGCCGGCTGGACGGGGTTTCTACAGAAATTATGGGTCAGATTCAGGTTGACGTCATCGATGCCCTATGGGGTCAAAGTTCAAATGAATAATTTTGTGATAATAATAATAATAATAACTAATATTATAACTATAAAATTATTATTATTATTTATAGCGACCTTGAAGCAGGGCTTGCTTGACAGCCAGTTGAAACAAGGCCTCCCAGACGCTGACACATTCAACTTTCCTCTGTACGTTCCATCATTTGACACGCAGTCTGATAACAACAACGATATTATCATCATCAACAATAACATTGGGAAGCAAGGTAGTGTAATGGTTAAAGTGTCTGACACTGCCACTGCAGTGACCGACTTCGATTGCAAGAGAATCCATCCCCGTACATGCGCGTCATGCAGTGATTTGCGTGTGTATAACATAACATAACATTTAAATAATGGGCGTAGATTAAAATCTATGTGCTCATATCTGTTATGTGATAATAATTAAAATGTCCAAAAAATTATATGTTTTTTTTATTATTCTTTAAAAAATATGTCCAAAAAGTATATTGCATATACTGTGTGTTTGCTGTTGGTATCTTTAAAAAATACTACAATTGTAAACTAATAAAAATAATATTAATAAAAATTTTTATTTTTATAAAATTATTAAAAATATTTTTCTATAGTAGAAAAAAATTACAATGCTTACCTGCAGCTCTGCAGTCCATAAGGAACAATGAAAGAATGGTGATCATCATCATTATCGTCATCATCGTCATCATCATCGTCGTCGTCAACATCATTTTGGTGATGACGATGATGATTTTTTAAGTTTTTGGTTTTGTTGATTATATTGTAATAAATGTTATGATCTAAATTAGAGTTAAATTAATGATTATTAATTTTTTAAAATAAACAATTAAACAAATTTACAATAAATTCACTCTTAGAACTAATTACAGTGATGAAAATATTATGAAATAATTAAGTTTCTACTACAATCTTTACGGTCGAAGACTGCTTAGTGCTTATATTAAGTGCATTCAACACTTGTTATATATGTGAGTGTGTACTGTGTATGTGTGCTGTGTGTGTTTGTGTGTCGTGTGTGTGTGTGCGGTGTGTGTGTGTGTGTATGTGCGTATGTGAGTTAATCGACAAGCAAAGAAAAAATTATTTAAAGAACAATGATGCAGTATTGTATGTGTTTGTCGCGAGGTTATGTGATGCGTGAAATCTCAACAGTTGTCCTCTTGTTGTTTGTGAGTATAATTGTTGTCATTGTCGTTTTGTATAATTTTTGTAGTTGTTGCTGTTGTTGTTTTGTTGTTGACTCACGTTACAGATATATGGTTCCTAGTGCAATCCCATTGGCTTATTATTATTATTATTATTATTATTATTATTATTACTATCAACGTGTTTGGCTTCATATATGTTCCATATAGAGTTTGTGAAAATATGAACGTACAAATGATCGATCGAACAAACGAACGAACGAACGAACGAACAAACGAACGAACAAACGAACGAAAAAACGAATTGCACATTAAAGAGGGCACATTGAAATCATTAGTTCATTGATATTTTTATTCTGAAATTTTTTTGATCATTAAATTTAATTATACCCATGACATGATTCATATCCCATCAAACCTCTCTCTCTCTCTCTCTCTCTCTCTCTCTCTCACTTTCTCTCTCTCTCTATCTCTCTCCATTGAATTAAATTTTTGAATAATAAATGAATAATCATCCGTATAATTATGATTTATTCATAAGTGTTACTACCACTACTATTACCACCACTGCTACTACAACAACAACAACAACAACTACTACTAATAATAATAATTATAATTGTAATTTTTATTATTATTACTAATAAACATTGAAATTGTTCTCAATTTGAGTCAAATAGTTTTTTTGTTTCTCCGCCAAAGTTTTTATTGAAGTCTGTTTATGTGTTTGTGTGTGTATGTGTGAATGTGTGTGTACCTGTCTGTATGTCTGTTTTTATATAAGTATGTGTGTATATATAAATGTATGTTCAAACACATGTTTGTACGTGTATGTGTGTGTCTGTGTGTGTCTATATGTGTTCTATAGCCAAATTTAAACATTTGAATCAATGAATTTTTTTATTCATAATTATAAATGTTCTAAAGAAAGTCGGATATATTGTTAACGTTGTATTGTGCTACCTATGTAAATGGGTGGGTGGGTAGGTAGGTAGGTAGGTAGGTAGGTAGGTAGGTAAGTAGGTAGGTAGGTAGGTAGGTAGGTAGGTAGGTAGGTAGGTAGGTAGGTAGGTAGGTAGGTAGGTTGGTAGGTAGGAATATGATAGAAATATTGTGAATTGTGAATATGAATCATATAAATTTTTGTTATTATTATTATTATTTTGTTATTATTATTATTAGTAGTAGTATTAATATTAGCAGCAGCAGCAGCAGCAGTAGTAGTAGTAGTAGTAGTAGTAGTAGTAGTAGTAGTAGTAGTGGTAGTAGTGGTGGTAGTAGTAGTAGTAGTAGTGGTGGTAGTAGAAGTAGTGGTAGTAGTAGTATAATTATTATTATTTTAATTATGATGTTGTTACTATTATAATTTAATGTAAACATGGCTTATTTGATTACGGCTTAAAGGATTAATGTATATAAGTACTACTACTACTATTACTAAAACAACAACAACTACTGAATGAATGAATGAAAAATAAATTAATGAATGAATTAAGAGTGGGTTGTGTTCTAGAAATGAGCGCTACATAATGAAAATCCATTTTTTTTGGATGAAAATCTGTTTGCTTTTATGGCGTAATTGGATAGGTTTTGAAGCACACTTTATCGCTTTAGAACATGTCTCAGAATTTAATATGCGGAGGATTGCGCGTGTGTTTGTGCGTGTGTACGTGTGTGTACGTACGTGTGTGTACGTGTGTGTACGTGTGTGTACGTATGTGTGTATGTGTGTACGTGTGTGTGTTGTTTTGTTTTTTTTCCCGCAAACTAACTTTAAACTTTAGTTAACATTTAATAAATCCAGAGTCTGAGTCCTGGGTGGGCCACATTGAGAACTGTTTTACCTTTGAAGGGCCGCATATGTATTAAATAGCAAATTTTTTCGACCCGGGAGAGAATTTTTGTTAAGCAAGATTTGTGGCTCCTTTTTTTGGTCATAATGTCTGGCTGGCTGATGACATTTTTTTGTCAAACAAGGCCTCGCTTGCCTCATAAAATAGCTTAGCGGACCGTAGTTTGCACGCCCCTTGTCTAAGTGAAAGAATAATTTATAAGTTTTATTTTTTACAATTTAAATCATTAGACACATTAAATATTCGTTCACGACGTGAGAAAAATAAAAAAAACGGTTTAAGGTGCAAAATTTAAAAATTCGAATTGTCTTTGATTAATTTTTAGGATTTTAAACGTGTTTGAGATCAACCATAAATCATTCACTCATCTTCATTCATTCACTCCTCAATCATTCATTCATCATCACTCATTCACTCATCAATCATTCACTCATCATCACTCATTCACTCATCAATCATTCAGTCATCGTCATCGTCTTGGTTGGGTCCTCATTGGTCACCATCATTTGGGCAAACATTTTTTCTTGGACATCATTCTCTTCTTAATGACCATCATCATTTCACTTGATCACCAACGCCATTGCTGACGTCATAATCTTCTTAATCATCATATTGCAATCATTTTCTAAATTATTTTCTCGTCGTCATTATCACTCCCCATCCCATCATCACTGACATTGACGTCATAACTTTTTAAACCGCCACCACCACTTCACCACCGTCGTCGATGACGTCGCAAATCGCCACAACAGCAGAAGCAGCAGCGGCCGCCACAACATCCACTCTTCTCCCGATCTTTTTCGGTATTACAGCTACAACATCTCTCTGAGAGCGGCCCACTGATGAAGATCTGCCTGAAGGTCTGCCTGAATTTGGCACTCATAGAGCAGTAGAGGATGAAGTTGACGGAACTGTTGATGAGTACCAGCAGGTCGATGAGATCTCCCAGTGGCACGTACACCTGCAAAGTTTTAGAAACATTTTTTTTCGCGTTGAATGGTGACATTTCGACAATTAATTTTTTTTAGGATTAGCTTTTTATTATTTAAACGATCAAATACCAACGGACTTAGAAATCTCTAACAACATGCAAAATGATGAACAAAAAAATATAGAAAATTAAGAAAGTTGACGGAAATATGAAACTGACATTCTCAAACCACTTGTTGTCAATGGCAGCCAGCATGGCTAGAATGCCGGTGGGCAGTTCGATGAGCACAAAGAAGAGGACGACAACCACCAACATTATCGTCGTTCGGTCTTTCTCCTGCACCGAAGTTGCCGCGCTGGAACCTCGACGACTTTTTCTCAGTTCATTCGATTCGGAATTGTTAATTTTGAGTTTTGTGTCTTTTCGGTTTGCATCGTTAATGATTTGTTTAGTTTTCTGCTGCTGCTGTTTGTCTTTTAATGGCGTCCATGTTGACGTAGATGATGACGTCAGAGGAAGTGATTTTGAAGCGCTGATTGAATGTTTGCATGCATTGTCGGTGGAGTTTTTGTTGAGTTGGTCGTCGTCGTCGTCGTCGTTGTTGTTGTTGTTTGATGAGTTTCCGATGGCTTGGTCGTCCGTTTGTCCATTATCTATACATTTGTCGTTCAGTTTTGACGAGTGCTGCCTCTGATTGAACATCATCTCACCGTCTTTATCTTTCTCATCAAGACTTCCGTCACCAATCTCGTAAGCTGGTAGCGAACCGTCATCATTCATCACCAGTGCATTCTCCACCCTGCAACCACCAACTCCATTACTCTCATCACCGCTGGTCAGGCAGTTGGGAATTAAATTCTCATTACCTTTAGAAGATTTCAACAATGGCGAAATAATATTTCCGTCATCCTTAAACAGAACCTTTTCCGTTCTTTTCGGCATTTGTTCTGACGTCACCCGGACCAAAGCAGTCCCTCCAACCCCCCCTGACGCACCACCCACATTTTCTATTGCACCTGTGTTGATCAACCGATTCGCTTGCAGTTGGTGTCGCTTTTGAAGCAGCAGCTTACGCTTCTTATTTTGGGCAGCCATCGCTCGGATCAGGAGACCGCTGAGAACAGTTAACAGCAAACAAGGCACGATCTTTAGGATAACTCCGTACAACCAGAACAGGAATTTCTAGTTTTATTTTTGGTGGTTAAAAACATTTTATTAAAATAAGAACAATTATTATTTATAATATTAATATGATTCATATAAATTACAATTTCATTGATGCTGCTTTCATTGTTGCATTAGCAGTAGCAACAACAGCAGCACAACAGCAGTAGTAGCCCTCGTAGTGCTAATGGTGCAGTAATTGCAATAGCTCAAACTCTCTCAATGATTTTAAAATTGCCGACTCCACTTTAAACTATTGCTTTATTTAAATGAAAGGAACTAAAAATGATAAATGAGGTTACACACATACATACACACCACACACACACACACACCCACACACATTCTCACGCACACACAAACACACACACCTACACACGTTCTCACGCACACATCCTCACACACACACACACACACACATATAGACACACATATACATACAACAGGCAAAAATAAATGCAAAGTTTTCAGAGGGAGGCAATTCATAAAATCATCTCCATTTTAAAGGTTAATTATGACAGATATATGAATGTTTTACATATTTCACATACACACACACTTACAAACGCATACACACAGACGTACACACACACACACATACACAGACACACACACAGACACACACACTTAACGACTCAAACTAACTGTATAGAATTGATTGTTTGCAAAAGGGAAAGCCTCATACCAGTAGCCACCATCCACCCTCTTACACGATCTGAACATCACGTATTGCTGGGTGCAGAGAAGCAGGGTACCGCAAAAGATACCCACTATGGCCTGTTTGGCCCTGGCCAGGGTGCATATACTCGGGCCAACGTGGGGGTAGCAGACTACTAGATATCTGGGTTATTTTTTTTGGGTGGTTGATGAATTTTTGTGTTTTGTTTACGTATTTTGTGTTGATGTTTTAATTGTGGACTTTAACGTTATAGCAATTACATCGTTAGACTAAAAATGTGAAATAAAATAAAATGACGTCGCTTAAGTTAGCTTATGACGTCACCTGACCTGAATAGGGCAAGGGTCACGGTCAACCACATGCTGATGGTGTGCGTTGTAATGGAGAAGTTGACGTAGAAGAGTAACAAGATGACCCAACCTACATCGGGAATGATGATGATGATATGATGAGGATAGGATGATGATGATGATAGTGATGATGGTGGCTTGGTTTTAATGAGAATCTTGAATTTGATGATGATGGGTGTTGGTGATGAGGATTACGATGATTGTAAGACAGGTTGTTGTTGTTGATGATGATGATGATGATGATGATGTGATGATGATGATGATGATGACGATGGAGAATAGAGGTGATGATGTAAGAGAAACAATTACAGCAACAAAAACTCTGGCGATGTGGTATTTGTGATGAATGGCTTCAATTAACTCAACAAAAAACCCAGAAAAGGTATGAATGACTGAATGAATGAATGATGACTGACTGAATGAATGAAGAAGTGAATGAATAGATGGACGAATAAATGAATGAAAGGAAGAACAAAGTAATGAGTGAAGATGGA